GCAGAGTATCGAAGAGTTATTTGCGTTTTCCGGCGGAGAGTTAGAGATTGACCCAGCATTTGCCGATACCCCCCTGTGCGTTCTATATGATCTCCCCGCCTCTTGCTACCACTGATGTTCCTTGCAGTTTCCGCGAAGCCACACCTGGCGGTCATGATTTTGCGTCACCGCCAAAGGCGGCTATGTCCAGGTCAGCCTACGACGGGTTGGCTCATTGGGCCGGAGAGGCCGGCTTGCCGCGCATAGGCTGGGGATGCCTTCGTCGGGATTCGGGAAATCTAGTTGGTTTATCGCTTGATTGAGACGCCTACCAGCTAATTTTCTTTCTCATCGCAGTTTGGCCTTCAAATGGGCCGAAAAACGGCTGAAGACGCCCTCCACCACCGAACCCGCGGACCTTTTCGTCCAGCGTACTCGCTCAATTTGTTGAACGTCGACAGCGTTCCTGTACGGTTAGGCGAAAAAGCGGGTACAAAGGAGAGTGTCGCAGGGGAGAAGATCAAGGTCTGCAATACACCGATCGATTACTCTGCCCGCTAAATCACACTTCAGGAGCACGAGGAGAGGCACCTCTTTCAAAGCTACGCGGTTGAAGCGATGGTACGGCGGGCACATGAAGACCCGGACGCAAAGCAGCACAGTCTCGAAGCTCGTAAGCAATTCAAGCGGGATCTACAGGTTTGCCATTGCGCATTTTCGTCGTTTGGATCTAATGTGTCATTTAGGAAAAGGAACCCCTCAAAACGTTTGATCTGGCCCGGACCACGTCTTGGCAGATCTATCGCGGCCATTTTCCCGCGAAAGCGAAGGAATACTCCATGCAAACGGACTCCGCCAGGAAAATGTACAAGATCGCCTCTGGCGAAACCGTTTTGAAAAAACCCGGACGTGTTCCTCTCGTTTTCGTTAAATCGAAAGCTGCCGCTGCAAATGTATGGACTTTTTATCTGTTGGCACCCTTGATCGCTCATACTCTCCAGGCCCGAGACGCCTTCATCAATGACCAAGAAAAGTTTCTTGCTTGTCGCAAAGACCTCGTGCGCCAGCATGACCGCACGGAGAAGAATGTCCAGAACTGGGAATTGAGAAATGGCCCTTTGTCAGGAACCGCCGAAGAGCGGAACACTATCATGAAGGTCTTGACCACTCCAAACCCCTCGGAACATATCAGGCAAGCGGTTGCGGATGCTCTTGGTCGGTGTCTACGTCCATGAAATTATAACTCGCTGACGTCTTATAGCCCTCGCAAAGGCACCATCAACAACGGATCAGCAAAGCGTCCAAGGTTGGGCTTCGGCGCTTGGCATGGCCCAAATTGCGACGGCTATCCTCGAAGCGGAGGACGACCCAGACGCCCATGAAGAGTACGGCGACCACGACCGGCTTATCTCCTACTTTGATCGCATGACGATGGACGAGCCTTCGTCTCTCCTCGCCCCAACCAAGACCACCGGCAAGGGTAAGGCCACCACGACCAACGACCCCAAGGGCAAGGGCAAGACGTCCAATGAAAGCGACGACGACGACGATGACAATTCGCTGCCGGAAGGACTCGACGTCGACGAGTCTACGGAAGAAGATATTCTCAACATTCCCATTGCGGATGTTCGGAAAGACCTTTTCGCGTACTACGTGGAGCCAGTCTTGACCGCTCGCGCGTACGAGAAGCTGAAAGTACGCAGTTATAGCTTTAACATTCGACTTGCCCATGCTTAATTTTTCCCCAGGTCAACGAGGCTGAAGTCGCCGCGGGCGCGGAACCAGGATATAAATGCTTACGATGCCAACTCTACGTCCACAACCTCCCCAAGAAGATGACATTTTTATCAATCGCACATCTAGAGCGCCATTTGTAAGTATCTCCCGCCACGCGACACAAGTGATATTGCTTCTGATTAACCACTGTTCTTAGAAGGAGCAAGCACTCCGAGTGGAAGGAGCTCGAGTTGAAGATTGTGACTCTCGCCGCCGATGGCGCCACCACATACACATGCCCGGCTGGGGATTATACGTGAGTAGTGGCCCCTCTTTTTCGAATTCTGACGGTTTACGGCTACACAAGTGGTGATTCAGTGAAGGAGATCCGGGACCATTCCCTCTCAGATACCTGCGTTGCTGCTCGCCGTCATCGCCAGCTCAAGCAGGCTCACCAAGACGGTTTGCCTGAGGATCCTCGGTACGTATATCAAGGCCCCACCGAAGAATCAGGCGGCGGCGACGAGGCAGACCAGAAGCTGACTCTCAGAGACCTAATCAATGCTGTGCGTTTTTTCCCCTATATCCGCTTCATGATCTTGCTGGTAATGTCTCCGCTGCAGTCTGCCGAGCTCGACAACGACGCCGAGGAGGCTCAAGTCGTTGGGCAGGTGTTGATCGATTACGTCGAGGGTAGCTCCGAGGCGCTCCCAGTCTTGAAAAAGACTCAAAAGGGACCGACGCAGGCTGACTGGGAAGCTTTGGATTTGGACGCTTGGTAGACTAGTACATGGCCTTTTGCGAGACGTGTTGAAGTAATTCTAATGTTAAGCCCCGAAACCTCTAAAATTGCTCGTCGATCCAAAAGCAGCAAAGCCTGTCGTGCGCGGTTTTTGCAAATCTGCCCAAAACAAAAATGAATTCAATACACCCAGCTCAGAGGAGGTCCATACCTTTTGCCTTCAGGCGCGCGAGATCGCGTTTCATTGTCAAATCTGCCCACTGCGCTTCCTCCGCCTCGAGTGCTTGCTCTGCACATTTGCTCAGGACGAGGATAACACGATGTATGCGCGTGTCCACGCACCATGAGCTTCTGTCTCTGCTTTCACGCGAGACTCGTTCGAGTGAAGAAGTTTGACCTGCACATCCAACTCTTTCTTCAGTCGTTTTTCCCTTTTCTGCTCGGTTTCTGCAGCTGCGCGGGCGTTGATTAGTTGCGTTGATTCGAGCTTGAAAGCAAGTGTGTTTGCGCTGGACAGGAGCGCGCGAGCCTCCGCAGTCGCGAATCGAGGAGCCGTCTTCTTCCTCGTCTTGGTCGTCGCTGGCTGAGCGTCGGGCTGATCGGCGACCTTGGCTTTGCGTCGAGGTGGGTTCTTGGCCTTTGCATTGTGCTGCTTGACGGAATTCGCGGGGTCAGGAGCTTCTTGGGGTTCGGAATGGGATACGGAAACATGCTTGGATGTAGATGCAGATGCTGAGGAGGCGGTTGCGACTATGGACGTGTGTACAGATGCGGACAGGGGGAACTTTGTCTGAGGGTTGGCAAGACTTTGGATATCATTATTAGTATCTGCTGATTTGCCGTTCGCCTTGTTGGCAGGTTCAGTGGGAGGCAGGGAGATGGATGTGGGGGCGGTGATAAGGGTTGGCAACTAAGACCATACCAGTTAGATAGTCGAGACAGCGTGCATTTGAGGCCTGACGTACGGGCTGTCCGTGGTATAGTATACAGGCTCGAGTCGACTCTGTTGCAACTTCAAGCCAGTTATTCAAGCTTTGCGAATTAGGGTACTTGTCGAGATAAAGAGTAAACACATCCGCCAGCGCCTTGAATCCGTCGCTTATCGCGGAGATTTTGAAGGTTCCATCGTCACCACGGGCACCAAAGCTGAAGAAAACAGTCTCGAGTTCTCTGTTCACCGCCGCTTCTTCACCGAGGCAGCTTACCCAAGCTGGGTCTAGAGAAAGCTGTGTAAGTCGGTTAATTGGGGCATCAGGTGGAGCCTCTGGAAGTGAGCTGGGCAGTGAATGGATGTATAGCCTTAAAAGAGAGATTCTGCTGGTGTTCGACATGACGAGCTGGTCGGAAGTTTACGGGTCACGCCCGTGACTTGTGTCACTCTACATCCTTCCTTTTGCCTTCATGTCTTTGCAGCAACCTATCGTTCTTGACTCTGATTCAGATGCAGAAGAGTTCCCCACTACTATCCCTATCCCTATCGCTCCCACAACCCACGCAGAATCGGATGTTGAAATGGCCGAAGCTAGCGACCATGTACCCTCCGCTCCGAGAACACGCGTCGCGAAGAGAAAACCTGCATCCGCTCGGAAAACTACGAACGCGGAGAAGAGCACATCCAAAAAGAAACGAAAGTCGGACACCCCTGAACCCGCTAAATCGAAGAAAAAAGCAAAGAAGGATGACGACGACTACGAGGGCGACGCCCAAGACAACGACGATGAGGACGTCGACATGCCAGACTCCCCACAGCAGACCACCAAGAAAATCACCACTCAGGCCGCCAAAATCACCGTGAGCGGCGTTGTTGGTTTGGTGGAGAACATCGAGCGCGCCAAAAACACTCGCACTCGTCTCGCTGCTGCCACAGCGCGTCATACGGAACGTAATCTCATTCTCGAGAAGCAGGTCGAAGAAGCGCGGCTTGCGGTTATGCAGTCCAAAAATCAAAACGAGACAGATAAGCACAGTGAGTATCGACATGCAGTCAACCTTGTCATCAACCACCAAAATCTTTAGGTCGTGCACTCGCTCTACAAGAGGCGAAGTCGCACACCCTGCAACTCCAAGTCGAGCTCGCGCGCCTTCAGAAAGAGAGTATGTACATTTGCTGCTCTTTCTATCCCAAACTCATTGAGTCCTTGATAGACGACGTCTCCGCCAACACCTCGCACCCGACGACCGACGGCGGTATTTTACCCCCCAGACAGCCTCTAGGTCAACGCCCGACTTCATCTGCTTTTGGTTTCCGTTCATCTAGCAACGCAACAATGGCGGCGCCCGCACCCCGTCCCACTTTCGCCTTTTCCTCTGCAGGGAGTTTTGCGCGCTCGAATTCGTTTCAAAACAACTCGTAATTCTCTATAGTTGCTATAAATTGTTCACTTTTGTTGGGTTTGATACTACTATTCTGTAACTTTGTATCTCCTACCAGACTCCATCGCAACTTGTCGTATGTCAATCGTTGATGTTCTTCGAATGATCAGTCATTGTATCTTTTCTGAAAAAAATTGGAGTCTCGTTGGCTTCTTGTAGCGACAAGCGTTCTCGCACGAAGAAGCAAAAATGAACCTGCTCGGGATCGAACCGAGGACCTTTTCGGGTCAATCTCCAATTGTAAACGAAACGTTATAACCACTAAACCACAGGTCCTATGAAATAGAAGAGGAGGTATGGATGTAATCAAGGCTGAGATATAATAGCCGATTTCTTGTTGATCTCTGCGAAAATCAACTAACGCAAGGACAAACAAACGCAACTTGCTCTCAACCGTCATCACCTTTATGGCCGACGAATCTACTGCTGTCCGACGTTCGGGTCGGAAGCCCAAGCCTACTCAACGTGAACCAGCCCCGGCAGCAGAAATTGTTCCATCAAAACGGAAAGCCAAAGAAGATGTGGATCCCACAGAACAACTTCGTTTTTTGTTGCAAAATCCGAAAAGTCGCCTGACAAAGATGAATATATCTGTGCGTTACTGGTTAGACACCAGACTGGATCTCAATTTTCGCGGCGCCTTCAGGACCTTATCAATGCGAATTCTTGGAACATGCTCTCGCCAGATTCACAAACCCGACTCACAGCTTTGCTACCTTCGACTGCTTTCACTTCTTTCCAGCCGACTCTCGGATCCGATCATCCCGCAGCAAGCGGTTCAATGAGTGTCGACCCCAGCATATCCGGTCCCGTGGATTCATCGCTATTCAGCGACCCTCATTTTCTTGCCGCGGCGCACACATTCCAAGACCACTTGTACTCTAATTGGCTCTCAGATGCACATGCCGAAAAGGTGAAAAAATACGAACAGGGAACCCAAGACGGAAGTCTTGCGGCCCCGTGGAAAGATGAAGTTTGGGAACGCGAAAACGAGCAGGAAGCACCGTCTAGAACAGGCGCTGCAGATTCTCTTGCAGGGTAAGATCTTTTTACAGACTCTATATTCTACTTTCCTTCGTTCTATCTTCTAAATGGCGCATCAGAGAGGCTGCAGAACTCAAACTCATCGATTTGGCAAAGTCTTCTGTTCTCCGGGAAGGGGATGTACTTGCGTACAGACGCAATTTCACAGCTCTTAATATTTTTGTCGAAAAGGATGTCATCGTGAGACTGTTCTTCCTCTGTGAAGATCGTTTTGCTTACGGCACATTTTGCAGATTCAACGAATTGATCCCCGTACACATAGCCTGACTGTGCTGCTTGAGCCTGGCACTAAACGCGATCTACCTGATGAACTCCTCATGCCAGGTCCCTCTGACCCTTCCGGCCTAACCCGTGCCATGACGATAACCAGTCCCACCCAACTTGAAAGTGGACTGCTCGACGTGGACGGCCGGGTTGATAGATCTAAGCGGCCTAATGGAAATGCCTGGAAGACGTTGACTTTGTGGCGGTGGGCTGGCGATTCCCTGGAGTACGGGTCGGTGGCAGACGGCGGACGGCGCGGTGGTCGAGAGGATCACGGCACGCTATTCTATCTGAGGGCTTGCCATTACCAAGATATGTAAAGGGTAAAGTGCGCTCGCGACCTTTTTGGTGTACTACCAGTGCTACTTGTGCTGAAATCTTGTACGTTGATGCTGTTTTCTTGTTCGACTTTGTTCAGGCATCAATTTGACGAAAGCCCTCACCTCAGAGATTCTCGGCAAGGTCTTTGCTAGAACCTTACTTCACCTCTGAAATTTTTCATTCTGCAAGTCGGCGGGTCAGCAGGTAAACTCCACTTGTTAGGGAACATTCGCAGGATGCCATCGTCGGGCTTCTCTGCATCTCGGGAAAGTTTGGAAGCCCACTCTTCTGCATTGGTCAAGTATGTTCCAGGGCACTGAGAAATCTAGGCCGCCGTGTAGGCGCGAGGCACGTACGACGCACCACCCGAGAAATCTTTTTTGCGATTTTTCTGCCTGCTGATGCCACCACGTGATATTTTCAACATGGGTTGACATTCTTCCTTCTCCAGGTGACCTCTGTCGCCGCGTCCCCGATCTTTCGGCTTCCTCCTACATAACCTATAAGTACTGCGATTTTCTCATCCGGAAAGCCGACGTGAACAGTGATGAAAATTATGCACCAGATCTTCCTTCTCGCTGCGCTTGCATTCACTGCGGTAGCAGGGCAGCAGCCCTCCGTCACCATCAAGAACGGCACCGTGCGGTACAGCTTCTAGTGCGGATTCCCTTTTTCCACAAGCTGATATTTTCCACTGGAAGCGGTGTCGCCCTGCCCCAGTTTGGGCAGGATCTCTTCCTGGGCATTCCATACGCTCAACCACCTGTCGGTGGTCTTCGATTGCGGACGCCGCGCTCTATGTAGGTTGAGTGTCGAATTCTATCTCCTACGGCCGCTGATTGCTTTTAGAAACGAGTCGTTTGGGACTCTCGATGCTACTGCATACGGGCCTCACTGCTGGTCTCGATTCACAACTGGATTCGTACGTTTTGCTCTAGCCTTGTCCTTCAACTCTGGAAAAAGCGCAGGATGATAATTCCGGCTTCAACAACTCCGAGGACTGCCTGACTCTAAATGTGATACGGCCTGATGGGGTCTCGCCCCAGTCCCCTGCGCCGGTTGTTGTTTGGAGTGAGTTAGAATATACCTATTTCTTTTAGACGTCGCTGATCTCCCTACCAGTTCATGGCGGCGGCCTTGTGAGCTTCTTTTTTTGAACCCTGTTCCTTGGTCTCATTTTGCGGCTTTTAGACTACCGGTGGAAGTGTGAGTAGATTCTTTCCGTCTCGTTCGATGCTGGATCATGCTCGAATTTTAGGGTGACTTCCGTTACAATGGATCTTGGATTGTTCAAGCTTCCTTAGCTAATACCAAACCCATCGTCTTCGTGTCCGTCAAGTGCGCTGATAATTTACTTCTGCAATTGTTCCCGAGTGCTTATTCTCGCCGCTCAAGCTACCGACTTGCATCTCTTGGTTTCCTCGCCGGCAAGGCACTCAAGGACGAGGGATCGCTTAATCTAGGCGTTCGGGATCAACGGCTCGCTCTTTATTGGGTGCAAGAAAACATCGCAGCATTCGGCGGGGATCCCAAGTGCGTCGACTCTTTCTAGATTTTGAAACCACACGAATTGACCGTCACAGGAAAGTGACAATACAGGGAGAAAGGTAAGTAGAATGCGAACCATGCTGCACTCTGTCACTCAACCAGCTCGTTTTCCAATATAGTGTAAGCATACTTCGTTTCTTCAACCGTGGTTCTTTTGAACATGGCCGGACTACATATAGGCTGGAGCCACTAGCGTTCACACTCAGGTCATAGCGTATGCCGGACGAAACGACAAATTATTCAACCAAGCCATCGCTCAGAGTGGCACCAACGGTGGTAATTTCAGCCAGCCAGACGCCGCTTCCTTCCAGGCAACATACAATGGGCTGATCACCAATACAACCTGTGCCTCGACTGCAAATTCTTCAGAAGCGGAGCAGCTCGCCTGCATCAGGACGCTGCCAATAGATGTGTTCCGCCAGAACACCCTAGGCTCAACAGGAATTGTGTTTGACGGGGACTTTATCAACGTACCCGGCTTTTTTGAAGCGTACAGAAGTGGGAAATGGGTTAAAGTTGCATTCATTGTGAGGGTTGCCCTCGAACTTGGTCCTCAAATAGTAAACTAATTATATGGCATTCAATTTAGGTTGGGAGTAACACCGATGAGGGCGTGAGCTTTGCTCCGACGGGAGCGAACACAACTGCACAAGTCAGTGACATGCTGGCCGGCGATGTTCCCCCCCAACTCCGCGATACTATTCTGGAGCTCTATCCCGACGTTCCTGCTCTGGGGTGCCCGTTTAATACCGGAGACTTCCAGGTGTCCCCTGGGCTGCAGGACAAACGAGTTGCTTCCATCGTCGGAGACGTTGGCATGGCTGCGTGAGTAATACAGTCACCAGGTTCGAAACGGTTTTAATGCAAAAAAACAGTGGTCCTCGATGGCTCGCGCAAGAGGTATCTTCGCAAGTACCGTTCTATAAGTACAGGTACGTCTGAGCGACCTGGTAATAGTTTGAATCCTCCAACTGAAGCTGCAGATATAACCACCTTGCGTATTCTGTCACCACTGGCATCGAAGACGTCATTGGTCATTTCATGGAGGTAAATATTCCAACCGGACAATATTCAAAACTAAAACGGCTAGGTTTCCTACGTTTTCAACCTTCAAAATAATGAGTGAGTTGAAACGTCAGTGAAGCTGATTTACACTCATTCTTTTAGTACGGCCTTCTGGATAGCAAACCACTTCTCGGTGACATACCTAGGACCCACGGCACCGATCGAGGACCGTTTCCTAGGGGTTTACATGGCACGGTCCTGGGCGAGCTTTATTGCAACCGGTGATCCAAATAACGCCAATGGTGAGTGCGAGCACAAGGTACAGCCGTCGGCTCGCTGACATCCAATCAAGTCCCATCCAAAATCAACTGGCCAAAGTACTCTGACGGCCAAGAAAATATGGTGTGGCGAACGCAAGGCTCAGTCACGGAGAAAGATGTGAGTCGCAGTGTACTAATGAGTTTAAGAGAAATGCTCACGGTAGATACTACAGAACTTCCGAGAAGCCGGAATGAAATTCATTATGGATAACATCTACTTTTAGTCGCAGTAAATAACTTTTGTACTTCAACATCATATGCAAGAACTATTTTGACAAACTACTGGAGCGTAAGATCTATTTGAGAGAACTTTATGTTGTGTCTTGAATGCATCAGAAGCATGTTGTTTTCCCCCATGTAATTCAACTTGCAACTCCAGCTACAGCGTTCAGCATTCCATGATGGGCGACTGCAAGCGCTGATGGTTCTTCAAAGTGATTGAATACGATGCTGTGAAATCACTGACTGCCTTGTATTATTGCGGCAGACCGAAATGGCGAACTCGGAATTGATCGGGATGTTCGAATTGTGGCCAATTGCACAGGTCATGCAGAATTCCTTATATTGCGCATCCATCCCACCAGCTGCCTCACCGGGATTTAGTGCGGCCGGCTATAAGCGACACTGCTACCTCCAACGCCACTATTGAACGGTGAACGTCAATTCTGTCTTTTCTGTCCGAGTTCAATACCGCATTGAAAATTCACAGAAAGGAACTCATGTTGGGGCATTCTTCTGATCAACAGAACTCAGATGACGAGATCGACATTGATG